TAAACTAGTCTGGCTGGTTCTGGCTATGTGATGGTGGATGCCGCTGTTATTTGATCACACCAATACTGTTCACGGTCACATCTAGTCAAACACGTTGGAAAAAGCCTCTGGATCATTTTCTATGACCTGCTAAAGCCAGTTTTAAACACCAGGCCATCATGTTAAAGTTGTGAAAACTTAAATGTTCCCATGGTGAGCTGTAACAACACCGAGTCAAATTCTGTTACCTTTTATTACCTTTCAGTGGCCTTAATTTGAGCTCATTTTATTTATTACTTTTTATCACCCTGCTGAAGAAAAAGGAGGGTTTTTAGTTTTTTATTCTGAAAGCCAGAGAAATGTCCCTTCCTTTTAGTTTATAATAAGGCATTTACTCATGTTAGTTAAAAAATGTATAACAATAGATCAAAGTTTGTTGTCTTAACGTGGCAGGATGTGAAAAGAGGTTATGAATCCGTTTGCACGGTAGCCTCATGTTCGCTTTCTCTATCTAAATATGCCGAGTCAGGCAGCACCTCTGGGTTTTCTGACAGTTCCCATGCCACAGTTCTTCATCTGGCTTAACCATTCAGCAGCAGAGGCCTTATTCCATCTTACCATTTATCCTGTAAAGACAAGCATTTGGCAGGAATGTTTCAACTGTCCGGCAGGAGAGCGGCGGAGGAGAAGGGTTTTCATTAAAGAGGTTTCCGTTGTTTGAACTGGGAGACTGGGGATAAGGGGGCTTAAACCAGCGTCTGCACCTGATTCCATCATAACCCATGCAGGTGTTTAAAAAAGAAAAAAAACAACAACCTGAGAACAACTTTCACACACATTTTTCTCGGCTTTTGAGATAAAGTAAGGTTCAGCTTTTGAGCTTCTCGGGTGGCGAAGTGAAAGATGAATCCACTCACCGCTCCACCACCAAACTGACGGCCTGGGTCAAGTCTGGATTGGCCACTTGGAGCTGCTTCCACAGAGACCACACAAACTCCTTGTCTGCCTGTAAAATAATGAAGGATTCTAGAGTTATTTTCTTACGGGGGATAAATAATCATCATATACATGACATCACGGCTTTAATCAGCCTGTCAAAGAAAAAGCAGCAACACATCACAGCTCTTCTGGCTATAAAAAAGAAAATAAAAGATTAATCAGCACGCTCATTGGCATTAGCATATGACAGTAGGGAAGTCGATCAATTATTTAAACAACTTGTACAAAACAGTTTTTCATCTGGCCTGCCCTCTCTAATCATGCGCCTCTCCATCGCTGAGATGTGACCTTCGACTCGAGGGGAGCCAGCGCTGACACTTGTCATTATGAAGTATTTATGACTGGGGAGAGCAGGGATCCAAATCAAAACACAGCGGTCGGGCTCGTGTTTTCCTTATTAATCTATCAATCGGTCTCCGGACGTGTTTTCCACCACCGCTCCAAAGAAACTCAGAACTGATGACAGAGGTGGGGTTTCTGAAGAGCCGGGCGAGCCGCTGACACATTTCCAATTCAAATCGTCGCCCCAGATTCTCAAACATTTTTAGGCAACATTACATTTAATGAGGGACATCTAAAAACTACATTTGACATTAAAAGACAGAATTATACCAAATCGACTTAATATAAAATCATCTGATAAATTATGTTCACATCATCAGAAGATAAAAGTCGTCCCTCCCACTGGAATCTACTGGTTTCCAATTAGTACATGAATTTTAAGCCCCTTCTCAAAAAGTGTCTAATCAATTATTTAGTCAAAATGGCAGCATCAGACCTTGATAAGGCCATGAGCTGAACATATAAAGTGAAAGGACTGTGATGTAGATCTCTGCCTCTGTGTGTATCCTCCATAGTGGGGAAGGGGGGTGGAGTTCTCGCAGAAAAGAAAAAAACTAACACTGGAAAGCTGCTAATGATTAAATTAGGCGGTGTGGTTTACTCCGTCTGTCTGGCCTTTGGCTGCCATTAACCGTTTCAACGAGGACCCTCATCAAGAGCTCTCCTCTGCCGTATGTGTGCTTAAAGATGCATTCAATGAGCGTTTGATGATCGCTGAATTATTCATCCTGAATCTGGATCCTGGGCTAAACATACCAGAGAGCCACTGGAATTCAGCACGTATTAATAACATTAGTATGGTCTAGCTGGAACGTTTGCTGGCTGACAGATGAGACTCTTTGTAGTTAATGGCTACCCTGAACCCAATCCTGTCAGAGACTTAAGACATCAGTGGTATTCAAATGTCACTATTTAAAATGTACACTTAAGGCCTTTATTAGATAAACAGAATCGCTGATGGTCTGCTCTGTCGTGCAAGACCACCGAGGAGCGTTTCCGACCCCGTTCAATGCAAGGCTGCAACTCAGAAGTAAACAAAGTACGGGGCTTAAGCTTCGCTCGGTGCAGATCGTGTTTGGATCACAGATCTGTGGAAGGAACAAAAACAAGGAGGATGTTCTCACTCAGTTTCACTCTGCTATCATGATGAGGAACCTGTCAGCAGCCGCCTCAGATCTTTGATTCCTTCATCAGACCAGGCTTCAGAGGAAACACATTTAACAATCTTTTCTTACGACATTTATCATAACATCTTCATCCAAACAATAACGTCTATCTCATAGCAGGTGAGAAAAATAGGGCAACCAAAGACTCTCCTCAAACTGTTTTAATTTTAAGTTCATTGACTTATAAGGCGGCAATTAACAGTGAATTTCATCCCAAAACACCTGAATACAAAGAGAACCATAGAAAGCAGGAAATATAGAGTCACATCTATCAGATCTGAGTGAAAATAAACCCCATGCAGTCAAGGTTTTTTTTTTTTTTCCAAACAGTTCAGAGAATAAAATCTGTCAAAGGAAAATTCTTGTCCAGACTTCAACCGGGCTTAGACTGTGCAATTTTTTCCCTTTTTCGGGCCGACTTTCCAGTCGTGCGAGAATTTTTCGATTGGGCCGGTGTCTCTGAGGCATCTGCAACTTCCTACACTTTTTATTTAGAGGATCAAAGTGGGAAGGAAGATGTTGTGAAAGAGGACGCCAAGGCGGCAGAAGCTTGGTTTGGTGTAGAAGGCTTCCAGCCGTAAATGTTTGAGCCCTTGCCTCGCAAGCTGCCAGTTCTGTTAGCTCTACACCTGCTGAAGACACAGACGTCCATCCCCTAAATTAGCTGTTCTGTCAGCTTAATGTTTTTTTACAGTCTCTATGTTCCAGTTAATGATTAATTAATTACTAAATTACTTAAGGATTATTTCAATAATCAATTAATCTGATTAATGTTTCAACCCTACTCTTATCGGTCTCCAACCCTGGTCCTCAATATCTACTGTCTTGCAGGTTTTAGATGCTCGATCAAATGAATGGTTGTTACCAGGCCTTTGCCACACTTTGTGGTATGCTGACGAGGTCATTCATTCATTTGAAACAGCTGTGTTGGAGCAGGGATGCATCTTAAATCTGCAGGACAGCAGATCCTGAAGTCCAGGGTTGAAGACCCTGATCTAAACAATCACGTCATGACAGTTGGTTACATGAAGCCATGGGACAAATTTTAGAAAGAAAATTGGCACAGCACAAGCAACAGTCTGCTGCAACTAAGATTGGAGAATACACCAAAAACAACAACACAAACCCAGAAGTACTGTTTTTTTTTGGTTTTTTTTTTAATTAACACGTTAATAACATCAGGAGCATTTTTAGTCACTTCATGTAGGAAACAAACGTAGCTACAAAGATAATCTCTAAGTCAGCAGTGTGACGTACAGCATGCAGAAAAGAATAGGTTCAGTTTAGGGCTGCAATGGTTCCTTCTACTGCCTGGTCCAGGAGGGAGAATGTTAAAGACAGTGATAATGTCTTTACAGTGAAACTGACAGTGATAGCTCAGCTCATCATTTTCTCTTTCTATGTAGGAACATGACCCACATTTTCTTTTAAGGTTAAAATGTTCACTTTATTTAACTATTAAATTAAAACCAAGTTTATAAAAAATTATCTTGTGTTAGAGTACCAAGAGGATTTAAAATGCCACCAAACTGCAAACTAAAACTAGAAAACTGTGGTGAAACATGTTTTTTTTCCACTTATGAAGGCCTGCATTTCAGAGAAGTAATTCGTTTTCTAATCGTAATCTAATTTGTACATTTTGTCATTATTCTACTTTCTAAACGGTAAAATCATCAGCAGTCCGACCAAAGACTGACACTTAGATATGTTAATGCTGAGAAGCTTTTTTCCACTCAGATTAATTGCCATAAAACCCAAATCTACAATTTTTCGTTTTAAAAACATCCCGCTTTGGAAGAATAGAGTGAGGGAGGTTTACCATATGGAACAAATTACGGCAAAACTTCAGATGAAAAGTGATATCTTCTTAGAAAAATGGTCCCTAATTCAAACATTCATTTCGAATNATTACACACTGTAGCTTTAAATTAAGTGTATTTACCTTTAATTTTAGTAGGTAAACGAGATAGTTTGCCAATGGAATGAGTACTTCTATTCTTAAAATAAGATAAATAGATAATATGCACTTGAAATAAGACAAAGCAATTGTGTTTTCTTATTTTAAGTGTAAATTGTCTTATTCCATTTGCAAAATGTCTGTTTTACCTCCTCAATCCAAGAACAAATGCACTTATTTTAAGAAAAAAAAGATGACTTATCTAGATTTAGATTTTTTCCAGTGTAGATGGATTTGGTCCAACCTGGTATTCAATGTTGATTTATTTTCCTCATTTAGATTTCAAAAATATTTGACTGAAATGTTTCAATATTACTATCTAAATATTTCTTTAATATTTCTACCTGTTGAAGAAAAAAAAACAAAACAGCCTATTCTAAGAAAGCAATTGATGGCCGTGTGTGATCAGGACTGAGTCAAAAACACATTTATGAAACAGTTCTGAAGGAAAACGAGGGACCGACCAGCATAGCTTAGATGTCTGTAATTAGGAGACCTGTGTGTAGAGTCATTACCTTTTTGCTCACCCCTAAAGGTCTCTTCAGACTGATCTTTACCTGTTCTAGCTCCTGGATTCTGTGATCTTTGGTCTGGAGGATTTCCAACACTTTTCTGTCCTTCATCTCAGTTTTGTGCTTCTCCCTGTGAACCAAAGTCAAGAAAAAAAAAGGACGTTATGTGATTTCAAAACACATTGCATATGCCGTCAACGGGCCATAGTTTGGAGACACTGCATCAGCTTCAACTTTGGTGAAGTTCCCTGATCCAAACAGCACCTGTGAGTTTTAAGCTAACAAAAACAAAACAAAAAAATCCTTTAATTCAGGATCAGTTTGTTTTAGCAGCTTTAGACCAATGGGAACTAACTATTTCATCAGTCGTTCCTCCTGCACCTCTGTCTCTGAGGCCTTTTTCTTTCGCGTTTTAGCCTCTTGTGATCAGCCTTCTCTGCTGGTCGGCGATGAAAACAGCTTTTGGTCCCGGGAGGAGCCAGAACACAGGCAGGACGAGCTGCGTTTCCTCATACATTAGGCTGTGTTCGCCATGTCCTGAGCAACCAACCAATCACTCTACAAGATCTGCACACCAAGAGGAAGGAGGGATGAATGGCAGCTCCCACTGGGCACAGGCGCTTGACTGGAGTCGACACAATTACAATGTCAATATCCTCCTGCGCATTAGGTGATACAATACACAGACAATCTCTAGGTGCATGTTCCCACCGCAGCCTCAGTGGACCAGCGCGCTTTGATGGGGTTCCTATGGGGGGTGGGGAAACTGAAGAGGGTGTGGAGTATGAAATGAGACGCAGAGGTTCTGGGAGAACTCTGCATGCTGCTGCACTTTCAACAACAGAGGTGTTCAGTAGTCCTCCAGAGCTACTATATGAACTTTCAGATGCTTTACTTCTCCAACGATGTCCCTTCCTTTTAGTTTATAATAAGGCATTTACTCATGTTAGTTAAAAAATGTATAACAATAGATCAAAGTTTGTTGTCTTAACGTGGCAGGATGTGAAAAGAGGTTATGAATCCGTTTGCACGGTAGCCTCATGTTCGCTTTCTCTATCTAAATATGCCGAGTCAGGCAGCACCTCTGGGTTTTCTGACAGTTCCCATGCCACAGTTCTTCATCTGGCTTAACCATTCAGCAGCAGAGGCCTTATTCCATCTTACCATTTATCCTGTAAAGACAAGCATTTGGCAGGAATGTTTCAACTGTCCGGCAGGAGAGCGGCGGAGGAGAAGGGTTTTCATTAAAGAGGTTTCCGTTGTTTGAACTGGGAGACTGGGGATAAGGGGGCTTAAACCAGCGTCTGCACCTGATTCCATCATAACCCATGCAGGTGTTTAAAAAAGAAAAAAAACAACAACCTGAGAACAACTTTCACACACATTTTTCTCGGCTTTTGAGATAAAGTAAGGTTCAGCTTTTGAGCTTCTCGGGTGGCGAAGTGAAAGATGAATCCACTCACCGCTCCACCACCAAACTGACGGCCTGGGTCAAGTCTGGATTGGCCACTTGGAGCTGCTTCCACAGAGACCACACAAACTCCTTGTCTGCCTGTAAAATAATGAAGGATTCTAGAGTTATTTTCTTACGGGGGATAAATAATCATCATATACATGACATCACGGCTTTAATCAGCCTGTCAAAGAAAAAGCAGCAACACATCACAGCTCTTCTGGCTATAAAAAAGAAAATAAAAGATTAATCAGCACGCTCATTGGCATTAGCATATGACAGTAGGGAAGTCGATCAATTATTTAAACAACTTGTACAAAACAGTTTTTCATCTGGCCTGCCCTCTCTAATCATGCGCCTCTCCATCGCTGAGATGTGACCTTCGACTCGAGGGGAGCCAGCGCTGACACTTGTCATTATGAAGTATTTATGACTGGGGAGAGCAGGGATCCAAATCAAAACACAGCGGTCGGGCTCGTGTTTTCCTTATTAATCTATCAATCGGTCTCCGGACGTGTTTTCCACCACCGCTCCAAAGAAACTCAGAACTGATGACAGAGGTGGGGTTTCTGAAGAGCCGGGCGAGCCGCTGACACATTTCCAATTCAAATCGTCGCCCCAGATTCTCAAACATTTTTAGGCAACATTACATTTAATGAGGGACATCTAAAAACTACATTTGACATTAAAAGACAGAATTATACCAAATCGACTTAATATAAAATCATCTGATAAATTATGTTCACATCATCAGAAGATAAAAGTCGTCCCTCCCACTGGAATCTACTGGTTTCCAATTAGTACATGAATTTTAAGCCCCTTCTCAAAAAGTGTCTAATCAATTATTTAGTCAAAATGGCAGCATCAGACCTTGATAAGGCCATGAGCTGAACATATAAAGTGAAAGGACTGTGATGTAGATCTCTGCCTCTGTGTGTATCCTCCATAGTGGGGAAGGGGGGTGGAGTTCTCGCAGAAAAGAAAAAAACTAACACTGGAAAGCTGCTAATGATTAAATTAGGCGGTGTGGTTTACTCCGTCTGTCTGGCCTTTGGCTGCCATTAACCGTTTCAACGAGGACCCTCATCAAGAGCTCTCCTCTGCCGTATGTGTGCTTAAAGATGCATTCAATGAGCGTTTGATGATCGCTGAATTATTCATCCTGAATCTGGATCCTGGGCTAAACATACCAGAGAGCCACTGGAATTCAGCACGTATTAATAACATTAGTATGGTCTAGCTGGAACGTTTGCTGGCTGACAGATGAGACTCTTTGTAGTTAATGGCTACCCTGAACCCAATCCTGTCAGAGACTTAAGACATCAGTGGTATTCAAATGTCACTATTTAAAATGTACACTTAAGGCCTTTATTAGATAAACAGAATCGCTGATGGTCTGCTCTGTCGTGCAAGACCACCGAGGAGCGTTTCCGACCCCGTTCAATGCAAGGCTGCAACTCAGAAGTAAACAAAGTACGGGGCTTAAGCTTCGCTCGGTGCAGATCGTGTTTGGATCACAGATCTGTGGAAGGAACAAAAACAAGGAGGATGTTCTCACTCAGTTTCACTCTGCTATCATGATGAGGAACCTGTCAGCAGCCGCCTCAGATCTTTGATTCCTTCATCAGACCAGGCTTCAGAGGAAACACATTTAACAATCTTTTCTTACGACATTTATCATAACATCTTCATCCAAACAATAACGTCTATCTCATAGCAGGTGAGAAAAATAGGGCAACCAAAGACTCTCCTCAAACTGTTTTAATTTTAAGTTCATTGACTTATAAGGCGGCAATTAACAGTGAATTTCATCCCAAAACACCTGAATACAAAGAGAACCATAGAAAGCAGGAAATATAGAGTCACATCTATCAGATCTGAGTGAAAATAAACCCCATGCAGTCAAGGTTTTTTTTTTTTTTCCAAACAGTTCAGAGAATAAAATCTGTCAAAGGAAAATTCTTGTCCAGACTTCAACCGGGCTTAGACTGTGCAATTTTTTCCCTTTTTCGGGCCGACTTTCCAGTCGTGCGAGAATTTTTCGATTGGGCCGGTGTCTCTGAGGCATCTGCAACTTCCTACACTTTTTATTTAGAGGATCAAAGTGGGAAGGAAGATGTTGTGAAAGAGGACGCCAAGGCGGCAGAAGCTTGGTTTGGTGTAGAAGGCTTCCAGCCGTAAATGTTTGAGCCCTTGCCTCGCAAGCTGCCAGTTCTGTTAGCTCTACACCTGCTGAAGACACAGACGTCCATCCCCTAAATTAGCTGTTCTGTCAGCTTAATGTTTTTTTACAGTCTCTATGTTCCAGTTAATGATTAATTAATTACTAAATTACTTAAGGATTATTTCAATAATCAATTAATCTGATTAATGTTTCAACCCTACTCTTATCGGTCTCCAACCCTGGTCCTCAATATCTACTGTCTTGCAGGTTTTAGATGCTCGATCAAATGAATGGTTGTTACCAGGCCTTTGCCACACTTTGTGGTATGCTGACGAGGTCATTCATTCATTTGAAACAGCTGTGTTGGAGCAGGGATGCATCTTAAATCTGCAGGACAGCAGATCCTGAAGTCCAGGGTTGAAGACCCTGATCTAAACAATCACGTCATGACAGTTGGTTACATGAAGCCATGGGACAAATTTTAGAAAGAAAATTGGCACAGCACAAGCAACAGTCTGCTGCAACTAAGATTGGAGAATACACCAAAAACAACAACACAAACCCAGAAGTACTGTTTTTTTTTG